CGCTTTGTAAACGAAATTTGATCGATGTAACACGACCGTTTCTGAAATTATCTGAAATAGTAAAATTATTCGTAGAAATATCATCTCTGGTACTAGAGATCTGGAAACAATAAATAATAAACATGACTTAAAAAGTAGAAAAAAAGGAAGATCTTGTCACCAGCAAAATCACAAAATTCAATGAAATCTTCGGAACTGCCACATGGAATATGATTGTAAGGAAGATGTCATTGACATTCTCCTGTTTGGCGGTATTTTTTTTATGAATTACTCAGCTAATGTTCTTTTGCTGACTTTTGAAAATGATTAACCTTGGATCATCTTAGCATATGTGTTGTTAAAAGTTTATTTTTACGTCAAGTTAGTAATACAACAGTTTCTTGTTTATTTCCGCTGGCTGTTTTCATTGTTAAAATACTTTCTGTTCTCACTTGTACCTTCCTTTATGTCTTAATTCTTAATTCTCAGTCGAAACTTAGAAATATTCGGCAGTTTAATCAGATTATATTTGAAGTCTTTTTACTGGGTTAAACCTTTTGTTTGTTTTTTTTCCCCGCCAGAAAAACTAGGAAATGAAAGGAACAGAATGAAAGCTCTCACATGCAGGGCTGACTATATGTTAGCCTTCAAAAACTGAAAACAAAATCTCTCTCAATCTCGTGTACTTGTTTATCCTGACTTAATTTGAAAAGCGGATTTATTCCTGTTATATGTCAAAAGGTCGCTATTACGTGTGAATAAAATCGAGCAGATTTGAACATCACGTTCGTTTTATCAACACACAGTCCTCTTTTTCTAACATCAGTACTCCAAAGATCGTATAAAACAAACATTCAATTGTATACATTAACTGCGAACTAAAGTTTCAGTTTATCAGGATTAAGAGATAATTAAATGAGTATTTTACTATGCTTATCAATAAAGGGCAAAATTACTGAGCGCTGATTGGTTGAGAGAGAGGGCATTTTTTTCTTAATCGAGGGCATTTTTAGTAATCAAGAGAGGGCATGATTACCTGTTAATGATTGGCTAATCCGTTGCATTGCTAATCCGTTGCTTCCCAGATAAAAATAGACTGCGCGCGTGATTTTCCTTCGTATAAATTTTGCTCTTTATTGATAAACAAGTAATCCCATGAGACCTCGTACTATTAAGGATTAATTGCACTTGAGTTTTCAAAATTTTCCAAATTGCCCTCGTCGCTTCGCGACTCGGGCAATTTTGGAAAATTTTGAAAACTCTCGTGCAATTAATCCTTAATAGTACTTGGCCTCATGTGATTACCTATACAAATTGCCATGTTGGCATAATTGACAATTTTCATTTGACCGGAGTCATTCCTCTCCAACGAAAATAGCTGACTTTAGTCGCTAATCGATTAAAAGAAACTTTCAAAAAAGCAAAGGCAGAAAAGTCTCCATCTATCAAATTTATCATAGGAATAACATTGTTTATTTTTTAGAGGGCACGGTAACGAATCCTGCAATCTGAATTGGTTCTTTACCCGGTCAGTAGTGCCCACGGGCCACGGTAACACTTTCGTGAGTCGTTGCCATTTTTCATAAATATATCTCGTTTTTCCGGCTGGGCTGTATTTTTAAGCAAAGACGTCGGTCATTACCTCAAGACGATAAATAACTTATTAATCCTCTCTTTTCTCTCTCTCAAATCACTTTGGTTGACAGAAAAATATTGGTTTCAGAATGAATTTGTATAAGCAATAGTGTCAGTACTTTGGTTGACAAGGGGCCTAAAAACCGTCTGCAATTAATTTCAATCGTTGGCAAAAAGTACCCAGAAAGTTAAAACGTGAGGTATTTGGTTACAGTTGAACTAATCGATGGAACTTTCATTAATTTAATATTTGAATTTTCTCTAGCAATTTGTTCGTAGTGAAAGAGCGAGCGAAGTTTTAATTTCAGTTCTACCACAAATATACACTCTCGGTGAGTCACGGTCCTTCTAAGTCCGTTCAATTTGGACATTTGAAGGAATTCAATGAGGAAAGGCTGCATTAAATCCCCTTGTGTCTCGTTGGAAAGTATCATTCGAATTTAGTTTTTGTGAAGGAAAGGCCAGATTTGTTCGCGCCATTGCAGCAAACAAACAAGCAAACTCTCACAACTTCAAAACAAAAAATTTGAATTTACTCGCCATTTACTTAATGAACAGATGTAAATCTTCGTACATGAATTAATCGTCGATGAGAGTGAATAATACTTTCCGTTTGATCATTGACTGTTTATTAAGAAAAACATTGTCGTGACAGTTCGTTGTTTTTCAAAAGTGTACATGCGCTTTTATTTTCATACGCGCTCTCTAATTGACAGGTGTCAGATTTTGACAGATACTTGTAAAAATAATGTTTCATAATTTTTTTGGAAGAGTTTTAAATCACCTTTATCATCACGCAAATGAAAATGTTTTAGTGAAGCATCTCCCTTTAATTTGCATGACCCCTATTTTAACTACCATTTACTCGCTCAAAAATTATTCAGTTTATGGAAGATCTTGACGTCTTTACAGCCCTAAATCATTCGGGTTCTTTCGGAAAGAATTTCGTTAAGTTTTTTTAAAAAATAAATATGTTATTTACCGGCTTAGGGTCGGTCCGTATGGTGAAAAATGTATTTATGTTGTCCCTCAGATCTGTGTTAATCCACCCCGAGCGCGAATGTGACTTTAGTGTGTTTTAAAACTTGTCACCATTCAATGTACACGTCGTCATATCAAAAACGGATGGAAATGAAATATCGACCGCGTAAGTACATATTTTGAACATAATTGAGTTCATTGGGTATCATCTGTGCTTAACAAAGTGAATTGAAAACGAAAAAAACAGCGCTCATCAGAAATAGTAAAGATTCTGGATTTACGTTCAACTATTTGTTAGAGTAATGCGAGTGATTTCACCGCAACTAACATGACAGGTAAATTCTACGAATAGAAAATACTGTTAATTGGTGTCAACTCACGACTTTGAAGTGGCAATGAAACGTTTTAATGGTGGGAGAGTAAGTTGTCACGATCTCGTCAATGTCGAGGTAAAATATCCGTTTAAAGTTCACAAAATGCAGAGAAAAGGCGAGCGCATCAAAGCTCGTCTTCGACATTGTGTAGGCCAGATAGACATGAATATAAACTTATCAGATTATTACAGTTTTATTGAATTTCATCACAATTACGGTTAGTCAGCTTGTGGCAATTTAGGTTACATCCACTATATTTCAAAGTATTTGATTGTGAAATGCCTTCTATTATTGACAGTCAAAGAACTTAACAACAACTACACGTATATCGCAAGATATTTTATTCTAAATAAAATAATCAAACTTGAACACTCGCGTTCCATAACTGGGTCAGTAAGTGATGCCTATTATGCATAATTATTTTTGCCCAGTCGAAGTCACAGATGTAATATAACAACAATTTCAAAAGCAATAAAAACCCTTCTCCTCTTCGTGTGGAGGACCTTTAAGATAATTCACGGTTTTTGCTTGCTGAGATGTGGAAGGCTCATTACAGTTTGCCCATAATTTTTCTCTAGCGTGAACATTTAACGTTTAAAATATTAAAAGTTGTGACTTAGTAACGATAATTGGACTAACTAGGGTTTCATTTGGTCTTTAATCAAACGAGTGATTACAAAATATGAAGACTGCAAAGCGGGAGTCCCATTTGTTAATCACGAGCATATGAAGTCCTGTTAGCAGTTAATCGCAACCAATAAAATTTCCGAAAAGAACAAATAAATTGATTTAAGAATGGGCTTTCAGAATTGATTACCTAAGGTAAAAAAATTAATTCATTTTGGAAATTCGCCAGTTTTGAAGGGTAAGTGGTTATTACTATGGTTATTGTTATTAATAATGGTAATAGGACTGAGTGGAGTCCAATTCGGTCTGTAATCATACGAGTGATTAACAAAAACTATGACAAAATTTGAGAAAGAAACTAGACATCAGTTATACGTTTTCGTAAAAAAAAAAAACATCAGTTCACTCGGCGAAATGCGAGACAATAGCGCGCGCACATGACACGTTCTGTCCACCTACACAGGCATGAACTGTCCCTTTAACTGTCCTATTACAATGTCCATTTACAAGCATGACGAGTACACTGTCCTATTAGTGCTCAAATCGGGCTGGTGATAACCAATCACGTTCGAGAATTTTGTTATAGTTTTGATTAATTCTGTGATTGATAAATTTTGCTGAATGGATTTAGTATGATTGGCTGCTTTAACTGTCCGGTTACAGGTGTCAGATTACAGCCAACTGTCTGATTACAACTCTACAGAACAATTAGAGAAAAATAAATCTACTAATGCACCAATCACATCTGAGGAAATTGTAATGGTTATGATTCAGCTTGATAACTTTCATTACTATGATAACGTCTCCACCAGGTGTCTTTACTTGAGCCATTCACATTCTTAAGGAAAGAGGAAAGGGTCACACTTTTGGTCAAACAAGACGACTATTACGGAATGATGAGCTTATGGCTTTCAAACGGATGAATCTTTCAAAATCATCCTGATTTTTTTTATTCTTTAAAGATGATAAAAGGAGAGTAAGAAAAACTCGAGTGTGCTTCTCTAGCAGATATAGGTTTGGTTATCAGCTTGAATGTTTTTGCTTTTGACTTTTCTTTTTTTTTTTGGATTTTAAATAATAACTCGACATCCACTATATATAAAAAAAATAGGACGAGTAAAGACTACGGTTCCATGTCGGAGTAGCAACAGTTCAACGCCCTCAACCTTAAATACTTTGGATTGGAAGGCTAAAATTTTCGGTATATACAGGACTTAAACCTCCTTTACGTATGAATCTCAAATTTTCGGAAAGAATCCCGTCAGGAAGCAGTTTGTAGCAGGGATCGCTCCTGGGTGTTTTTTTTTTTCTACACTGAGATAAACGGTCAAGTGTCAAGACATTAACGTCGTCCTTTAAATGACCTTATCCCTAATAACGAAACCCACACTAAACACTCCTGGATTTTAGTGAAAACCCTCTCTTTATTTGCAAGTTGTCATGACATCATCCCCACTCAACACAGTTCAGAGGTGCAACCTTAAAATATCCGATTTCAAAACTTTGCTGTAATTTATCCTGACTATTAAATCTAAGGTTCCTGATCGTGCTATTTTTCTTATTCTGCTGTTAGATGTTGAGCAATAAAACCATGGTAGTATACGACACTATGCCTGTGGGGGTGGTACTTCTTCCACGTAGATCCGGGACACTGAGTTCCAGCCTGTCTCTGCGTCAGCAGATCCGTAACTATTACAGTTACCGACCCAGAATCCAACGCGCACAACACCTTTGTGGACTTTCTCGCACACACCCTCGATATGACGGGGGCGGTGTAAATTCTTTTTGGCGCCATTTCCATGTACCATGTAGACTACGCCATCAATTGCAGCAGGAGCTGAGCACTCTGCGCCGTTTAAGGTAAAATACCATCGTCTGCAGCAAGCATGGCAGTTATAGATGCGGAGGTTGCCATTCCAAAACACGCGCAGAGCTGTTTTGGCCGACTTTTTGATGAAAAGGCATTCCTGGAGAAATAAATGATGGTTAACTGTGAACAATATGAATTCAAAATGTCCTGAGCGATATAAGTCCTAAATCAAGTCCAGTTTACGGATCCTTTAACTACTTAAGGTTTATCTTCACAGTTTCGACCTTCTGCCACAGAAAAAATTATTTTGGCTTGCTGCATAACTCGATCTCCTTTTAGTCAAAATCTGATAGGAATCGTCAATTCGAGCAATGATGTCAAATACAATTTTGTAAAATTGCGATTAATTGAAATAAAAACTGAAATACCTTTATCAAGCCAGTGTCCTTTCCATCGTTCAAATTTTTGAAAACACACTGTTTCCAATTACTCCCGAGAGCTCCTGGAGGACCCCGGAGGCCTGGGGCTCCCTGGCTTCCTTTATCCCCTGCATCACCTTTGGTTCCACGGGGACCCTGCCGGCCTGTGGACCCTTGAGGTCCCAATTTTCCTGGGGGTCCCTGTTTACCTGTGAGGCCTTGGTTTCCCGCCTTTCCTGCGTCGCCCTTGTCCCCTTGTGGTCCCGTAGAACCACGAGGACCGGGTGGCCCTGCGATGCCCGTGGGTCCCGCGGGTCCTGGGCTCCCGGGAATACCTGGTATCCCTGGTGCACCAAAAAGAGCACCATAAGCATAGGGTCCATATGGTTGATGTGGGTGAGTGCCCTGTGTAAAAAAGAAAAGAAACATAACACGTACTTTGTTTATATGCTGTCAGAAATACGACTATTTTTCTTGTGAACAATCGTTGTGACACATTCATCTTTCTAAGAATCGAAGTGTTCGGTCATGAAATCATCGTTTTGCTTCAATTTTTTTAGGGAATATCTCCTTTTCCATTCTCTTTTGGAATAACAGTGATGGAGAAAATCAGACGAAATGATGATAACTACAATGTTGTGATGTTTTTGGAAAAGATAAACTTACCATGTTACAATTCGGCTTGCCACCGCTGCTGTTGTTTTTCGTTGCATAGCAAAGAGCAATTAGCGGAAAAATCAGCCAAAATATCTTGGTTTTGGGCGGCATGTTCACACGATCGTGCATGTTGTTTATTCTTCAGCTGTAAAGAGCTTGGTGAAGAGACCTCTTATCTTATTCTGTGGCTATTAACAGAGGTAAAATAGTACAAAAGTTAAGGGACATTCTTTTTATATTGATGTTGCTGACGAAGTTTCGTGAAAACACGTTCTGGACATGATAACTGACGCACGTGGTAAATAAGACATGTACTGTGATAGGTTGATTACTATCAATTTGACCAATTACATTGCTTCTTCTATGTTGTGTTTGAGTGTGCAAACATTAAAAAAAACCGCCATCAAGAAGTAATGAATAAATACATGACAAGCAGCACTTCCACGTTGAAAATATGAAAGAAAATACATAATGTTAGACGCTAGAGTGTTCGTCTTGGAAAAGAGAATGAAGTTAATATTTTAGGTTACGATTGATTTGATCTTTTCATCTTTCTTTGATGTTTTGAGGCTTCACCTTCAGTTTTGATTAATGTTCTTTGAGTGATCGCATATTTGTGCTGTAGAACAAGAACTCAGTCGGACTTATACGATTAGAAGGGCATAATTGTGAAATCCAAATTTGAATAACTCCATCAAACATGATTTCTATTCATTGAGTGTTCTTGTTTTGAAATAAACGACATATTTTCCTCTTTTTTTCTTAAAGATCTCTCGATACATCCTGTTCTCTTTTCCAAAATAAGTTCAGATAAGGAAATTATATTGTAAATGATTTGTTCGAAGAGGCGAGCACAAACAGTTCTGCTGAATAGATCAGCTATTTAGACGATATCAACATCAAGCAAGGGACATTCAAAGCTCAAGGTTTCGCGAGCAATGCGACCAAATTTTTGCTTTTGATTTCCAACATAATTGAGAGTCCTCTTTATTAACCTTGGAAACCGATTCCTTTCAGCCGATTCCTTTTAGCCAAAAGCGCTGTTTTCATAACCTCTTGTAAAATTGATTTAATGACTGAAATAGAATTGTTTTTTGTTGTTGTTGTTTTTACTATATAATTGTGCGGCTAAATCACAGGTTATAGAGGATTTTGTGCTTGTGCGAAGAGTCAACTTTGAGGAAAAAAGTCGGTTGATAAAATTCCTCCAGAGGAAAAGCTTGATTGGATTAAGATCAACGTTTAGTTAATTTCATCTACTTGAAATTTGATGGAGTATAACACTGCATTCTCTTTGCGCTGTTTAGTGAGAGAGTTACATGGAAAATTGAACAAACTCGTTATTGCTCGTGAATTTATTTACCTTGAAGTATTTCAGCCGTTGGGTTGCCTGACAGGAAACTGGAGGAAGCTAAACGAAATGAGAAAGTGAGAATCAAGTTTAACTTTGTTGAAGACAGGAAAAGATGGATTAAAAAAAAAATTCTTATTTACCGGATCCTTCTAAACCCCCGATTTGTACTCAGAGCTCGTTTACGTCCCACATTGCATGCCGATTTCTTTCCTTGTTTGTTTAGAGCCGATTCCTGTCAGAACAAGTAAGATCGAAAAACAAAACACAAACGATGCGGGAGAGTTTTTTTTCTCTTAAGCACAGCTCTTCGTGAAATTACATTGTATGGTCGTAGCTTGTTCAGTGAGATTCCTGACAAAACCGTCTCTTAAAGTTTGAGAGAAGAGCTGTTGGTTAAAGCAAACTCATCTTCCAACACAAAAACTGCTGACGCTATGAACTCGATTAAAAGTAGAAAACTTTTCAATTCTCCTTCCGCGAGACGGGGAAACTAGGTTGATATTACTATGAAATCCATCCAGGAATCCTGCGTAAAAAAAGTGTTGATTTTGTAAACGGCATATTCTTCTATAGGGCCAGTAAAAAGCAAAAAATGCAAGCTGAAACCAAGAGAGAATCAGCCAGCCTTTTTGAACTGGCTCTCTGGAGTGTAGATTTATGTAGACATTATTTAATAGGACTAAAATAGAAATGATTATTTTTCAATCTCAAACCCTTTTCCTATTGATTTAAATTTTGTTATTTTTCTGCTTGGGACAATCATATTTCTCGGCTTTCAGCTCTATCAAGTAAACCCCAGTAAGACCATTTTAAATTGAAATATATGTGGTCTCATAAAAAACTTCTATGATCTTTCGTAAATCCTACCTATTAAAGTCGATCGTGTAGTTTTCCTTGATAGAGCTCTTCAAAAGCTCCTGAAAATGCGACAAACAACTTGATATGAGGAGGTGAAAGATTTTTTTTTTCAAACAACGAGCATTTTTCTTTTGTCATTCGAAGATTTCCAAATTTTACTTCACTTTAGATAAACCTCGATATACAATATGCGGGATTTAGAGACATGATTTTTATTTTGAAGAACATAAGTATCCCTCGTGATGGGATAAGCTGGGAAGTTAACGAGACCGCGACCACAAAAAAAAATCAATTCTAATTCGTGTTAGGCGCAAAATTAAAGAGCGTAAGTATTCTTTCAGTCGTGTCTAGTATGTACCACTACCGTATAAATAAGTTATACAGCATTTAGCTTCTCTCGTTCAAGAAATATTTTCGTTAAAAATGAAGCTAAAAGGAATTTTCTCGACACAAAATGATTACTTTCCTTAGGGTACCCCAGCGCCTGGGTAGCTTGAGAGCAAATCGGAAGAAGAAGGAGAACGAACATCAAATTTCACATTGATGAAAATGGAAGAGGGATTGAGTAAAAAAGAACTGCATTTAGCTCCTAATCGTCCTTGGTTTATATCATTTCAGTTTGTGGTGGTTCGTTTGTTTGCTCACCGTGCGCCGCTCTCATTCCTCATCTTGTCACTATAAGATTACTTCGTCAGTTCGTCACGATATGATTACTGAGTTCCCTTACATTCCCAAAGCCCAACAATTTTAATGAATCTCGTTTGAGGCAACGATGAGTTGTGTTTTTTCAACTGATTCTTTGTCTAAAGAAATTTATCACATTTATCGTCGTTAGCTGTGTAAATCAGTTTTCTCTTCTCTCTCGTTTTCCTGTCACCAATAATTTCTGAGTGTCAGAAAAATGTCTCTAAAAAGTGATTTTGCAATTGAAGTCATTAATTCAGTTCGTGCTAGTATAATTTGACAGTACACTCTACATCGTTCCTTTGACAGCACGACTGAAAAAACGAAGTTAAATGATTAGGTCAGATATGTTTCAGGTATGGTTTTTTCAAAAAGGAAAATCCAGAAATTCTCTGTCTGGTAGACTGATAAAAGCCTTGGTTCAGGCAAATCAATACCGATGGCGAAATAATTCCTGTTAACAAACTGTCAAACTGAAGCTAATTTGATTATGTCGTCGTTTACTATACAAATAAAATACACTACTGTAGTAAATACTTAGAGTATTCTTTCTTCTTAATTCTCCTCGATTACACATGGCACGTAATCTGACAAACAAATTTGATCAATCCGCACTTTAGTTCAACGAACATATTTGAAAAGAATGTTTCAAGTAATCCAGAGAAATAAATACAATACTTGGACTTTGACGAGGCCTTGTTTTTTTTAGCCGGATCAGGAAAAGAGCAAGAGAGAGAAATTTATTTGCATAGCTATGTGGTACACCTTGATAAATATTTTGATTACTTTCGTAGTTTTGTTTTTAGATGAAACTGAAGTACAAGCTTGAAAACAGAGCCACATAGATTAAAGTAGAGAGGCCTCAAACAAAAAAATCGAAAGTTCTTCCATCTACACGGTTACCACGTAGGAAAGAATTGACAAAGTCGCCCTCGATGCGACAAGAAGAGTACTAAGTAGATGCTTGAAAAATCACTTCAAGACTTTAAATCGTAAATCTAAAAGCAATTTTTGCGGAGTTCATCAAATCATATTTGAAAACATCTTGCTCTATGGGTGCGCAGATCTCATCTTTAAGCAATTTGCCTTGCGTCAATGAGGAACATGCAGAGATCGACCGAGAAAAAGTCAGTCTAAACTCTTAAAAAACGTGAGAAATTTCCTCAAACGAATTCTTAATCAATTCACCGGAAAATCAACAGTAGATAAAAGTTTGTTTCAACGACAAGCTTGTGCATAAACAAAAAATGCAAACGTTATGGAGGAAAATTATCTTACCTGCAAGTAACTTGCGGCTGAATTCCATACTTTTAAACATTTCTCATCGTTGAAGTGCGCCCGCCATACCCCAGTCAGGTATTTCCCACTCTTTCTAGAGCGAAAAACCGTCGGTTATTTCTCCATTATTGTTCCGGGAATAGCAGAGCAGTGTTGAAGTTCACTTATCTACTAAATTGAGAGCTGAATGATTGAGAATATCAAAACCGGTGAAAATCTTTGGGCCTTTCTACAATTCATGCCGGTAGCTTCTCTCTTGAATGCAAATGTTCTCTAACTCGGATCTGAAGGAATCAACTCTTTTGCCATAAAGATAAATAAGATTAAACGTGAAGAAATTTATATGTAAATCTATAGTACAGTGAGGCAGCTCTTTTTAAAAATTTGATTTATTGGCCAAACAGTTTTTCGAAAACGTTTGCAAAAAATAATTCGTTGCTTGTAATTTGAATTTATGTTAAAATGCGCTGGTGTGAAATTAAAAGTGAAGTCATTTGGAACATACTTCTTTCGACCGATTGTTAAAGAAATTTTAAAGATATAACAAGATTCCTTCCAGAAATTATGAGATCAAGCACATGTGTAGAGATCATTTCTAGTAAAAACAAAACGTAAAGATTCATAAATAACGTGACTGGAAGTAACATTCCATATTCTCTTGTTTGGCAGTATTGTTTTATGGAATACTCAGCTAATCTATTATAATTTCCTGACTTTTGAAAAGTGGATCATCTTATCGTGCGCGTTGCTCGTGAACAAATTGTAGAAAGCTCAAAAGGAAAAATATGAGAAGCGAAATAACATTTCTAGAGACGGGAAGAAGTCGATAAAACAATCACTAACCGGATCCTCCATAACTCATAATTCAGTAGTCAGTAATAGCTCGTTTTCTTCACGCACTGTTCACTGTTTTCCTTCCCTTCAGTTGTTTAAAGGCGTTCTCGTCAAAACAAGATCTCGAAACGATTAATAAATTGAGCAGAATTAATAATTAATTTATATCATAAAAACAAAACAAAACAAAATTAGCCGACAACGTTTTCTATTAAATTCTTGGTTAGCAACAAATTATTTTAATCGCTGAATTACACCGAAACTTAGTGAGATTATCGATGCGGAGAGAAGCCTTAAAATGCCACAAAATTAACTGCTTCAGTAATTTATCGAAATTAAACTAAAGTCATATAAATGCATGTTCACCTGAATGCATGTTGACCTATTTTAACCTGAATGGACGATCTATTATTCTGCCGTTGAATTTCTTACCAACAAAATTCATTTGTATGGCCAGGTTGTGATACAACAGTTTCTATTAATTTTTCCAGGCTGTCTTCATTGTTAAAACATCGTATGTTCTGGCCTGCTCCCTTCCTTCACGTCTTCATTTCAGAAACTTAGAAATATTCATTAGTTTAATTGAATGACAAATGGAGTCTCTTCACTAGGTTAAAATTTTGTTTTTGTGCGTTGTCCGCTGAAAAAATTTAAAAAATGATAAGACCAATTAGATGTTTTCACATGAAGTGCAGAAATGCCTTGGCTTTCATTCAGCGAAAACAAAAATATCTCTCAGTATAGTGTACTTGTTTATCCTGACTTAATTTGCCGAACAAAAAAGTTATTCTTGTTATCCGTGACAAAAGGGTACTATTACGTGTTATTAAAATTGAATATATTTGAACGCCACGTCTCACATTGTTCACTCTACTACCCTAAGGCATTTTGTCTAAGAAACATTCAACTGAATGATTTTTAATCGCTGTGAAACAAGTTTTCAGTCTGTAATGATCAGGTTAAGTAAAAAAAGAGATATAAGCAAAAGGATATTTTACTATGCAAATTCCCATGTTGGCATCGTTGACAATTTCTTTTACTTGACCAGAGTCGTTTCGCTCTGACTGAAACAGCTAACTTAAGTTGCCAGTAATTAAGAAAATGCTCATAAAAGGTGAGGCGGAAAATTATCCACATATCTACCAGAGGGCTAAACTATTTCTCTAAGAAATACGCCGAAGGCCCAGAGAACGCCTATTGTCAATGACTCCATCTGGTTTTGTGCAAATGGCTAAAGGCCACGCAAACGTGATCAACCTAAATATGATCTACGTTCCCTCTTTCAAGGTCCTGAATATCAACTGAAACCCAAATAAGCTGGTTTGAGAATCAAGATCATCTAGACTATGTTACAACTGGGGCAAGATCATGACACTGAAAGTAATGCGTCGAGGAGAAAATTGACCTCTACCTGTGAAATTTGGTCGACTGATTCCATAACTTTGGCCATGTCACATCCTTGTCATTAATCCAGTCCCTCAGCTTGGCAATTCCCATTCCGTTACAACAGACCATGAATTCGTCATTATCACGGGAGGTGATCACATTTTACCAACTTGTAGCGGAAACAAAACTCTCCCATTCTGTTGAATAAAGAGAAAATCATGTCCTACTATTTCCTCTTGGTTGAATTCGAATGTTTTGACTCCAATTGAACAGTGAAATTATTCATCATGAATAATTTCACCTAGCTCGTGTTAGTGGAATCCAACATCTATATCTGAACCGCATCACTTTTGCTTTATGGACACAAAGCGTTTCTCGCCATGAAAACGCTTGAATACAAAAAATAACATTTAATGTTTATAAAGTAACTTTGAAGAAGTATCTCGTTCTTCCAGGGTTAAAAAAAAAGAAAGGAATGAAATAATCATTGCAATATACCTTTATGTAAATATTTGATGGCGCTGTCAAAAAGTTGATAAAAGCAGTTTATTTTGGTGTTAACAAAAAAGAATATTGACTAATTTTTCGAAAAACGAGACTCTGATAACATGAATACAAACCTTTAGGGTGTCTATCAACGTAATACAGGCGAACGACAAATCAAGTTGAAGGGTTTCTGCGTTGACCTCAATCGTTGTAAACTTTGATGGCCAGAATTAATTTAAGCTGAGTCATTCATTTTTTCATGAATGACGAGCACCAAGATGTCTGCCCTTGAACCTAAACCGCTTTAACTGCTTCACATAAGAGAACTTTGAAGAAAAATAGTAAGAAAATCAAGACAAGAAAAAAATAGAGCACGGTCGTAAAAAAAAAACATTTTTTTGGAAAGGGAGAAAGTGTCCTTCTCCTTAAAGCGCCGTTGCTTGTTTACATATGGTGAAAGTAACTCATCCTCGCAACCGTGGCTGTATTAAGGATAAAAAAAGCCGTTTAGGGCCTGGCCAACCATTGTGTACCAATGTGAATGAATTCGGAATTCTTCAAGCAGATCACATGTTGATTCCATGACTGATAATAGTAGTAGCAATGAGTATTCTGTTCCGAGTGGAGTCACCACCTTATCGTAATGGGGCAATTTGCGTGTCTCAATGACCTACAACTATGTCAGTTGGAGTCTAGCGCTCCTGGTAGGGTCACCCATGCCGAACAGGTCAAAGGGTAGAGATCAGACAAAGAGTGATCCCCTGGTCCCCCAGGTTGGGGGTTGGGCGCAGGGTTAACGACCCTGACCCGTGGAAAAGAAACCAGTTGCATTGACGATACAACTCAAACTAAAAGGGGTTGGACGGACAATGTGACGGCCTTATGCGCCTACTGGCTCAACGAGCGATGATGATGATGATGATGGTGATAAATGCAGAGTATTTGCTTGCGTTCGACCATCAACCAAAGCTACTGAAGATATAAAACCCGGTGAGAAAGACAATAACGAAAACCTGGTTGTACAATCACTTACTTTCCATGTGTCCTTCTTTTTCTTTAAGCATCACGGAGAACTATTGTCACAGAAGAATGTACATGTCTGTAAATAGAACAAGAGAGGTGTTAAGTTTTGAGCTCGGTAAAGAAATAGAGAAAGATGTTTTTCGTCTTGTCGCGAGCGTGGAACAAGGAAAAAATTCTGAGTCCCCATGAGGAATCGAATCTCAGACTTTCGAATTCCTCGCCCCGATGCTCTATCACGCACTGAGTCACTTTACAAAGTTCATATTACGAAGTTCATATGACGCACATCTCGCATACTGCTCGATAGCGTCATTTTGGTTTCCCAGATGCAATTAGTAACTCAAGCGAACTGAACAGCGTGATAATGTTTCTTAGCATAACTATGATGATGATGCTATAATAGTCTGTTTCTCGAGAAATTTACACTTTTAAGGAAAGAGGATAGAGTAATGTTTAAGGTCAGACAAGACGAAAAACATCCGATGATGAGCTTATGGTTTCCGAATAATGACTCTTTCCAAATCACCCTAATTTTTCTATTGTTTGAATGTGGTAAAATGAGGGTAACTGACGTCTTAGCACGCTCTTCTTATAATAGCTCATTTGCCAATTTGATCATATCTCTGATCATCAGCTCGAAGGCTTTTTTATTCTTTTTGTTATATAGAAATAATTTGGCAACCATTATTATTACAGGTATAGGACGATTGAGGAGTGCGGTCTTATCTGGGAGTAACAACAGTTCAACGCGCTCTGCCTCAAAGGCCGGTCACGCCTACTCTGAATAAAGGGGGGTAAATTTCTAAGGAAAACTGTGATGCTGCGTGAGTGGGAGAGTATCACAGGGTTATTTAGCATTATCAACTGAGTTAATAACGTAAATTGACCACCGTAAAGAGTTTTAATGCTTTAAAACTATTTATAGTAGCCAATTTACGTTATCAACTCTGCTGATAATACTAAATTACCGTGTCTACTTTGGATTCGAGGCTTAACTTTTTTGGTATAGACGGGACTTAAACCTCCTCCTCGCACGAATCTCAGTATTTGGGAAAGAATTCCTTTAAGAAGGTAAGTTTGTAGCAGGACTCGCATGCTGGAGTTTTTTTGTTCACCGATATAACCAGTCAATGTCAGGAAATGAAAAAAGAAGAGAAAATGACCGTAGCCCAATAACGAAACACACACCAAACACCCCTGAATATTTAGTGAAAACCCTCTGTTTATTTACGAGTTGTCATGACAGCATCCCTACTATACATTGCTCAAAAGCGAAAGGCGCAACCTTAAAAAAAACCCTTCACAAGTTTACTGCAATTCACCCCGACTAGCAAAAATTTAAGCTTCCTTATCATGCTTTTGTTCTTTTTTAGCTGTTGGATATTCTGCAATGAATTCATCCATAAGACATTACGCCTGTGGGGGAGGTACTTCTTCTACGTAGATCCGGGATACTGAGTTCCAGCCTGTGTATGCGTCAGCAGATCCGTAACCATTACAGTTACCGACCCAGAATCCCACGCGTACAACACCTTTCTGGACTTTCTCACATGCTCCTTCGATTTGTCGCACTCGATGTAAATCTTTCTTGGCGCCATTCCCATGTACCATGTACACGATACCTTCAATTCCAGCAGGAGCGGAGCACTCTGCACCGTTAAAGGTGAAATACCATCGTCTGCAGCAACCATGACAGTTATAGATACGGAGAGCGCCACTCCAGAAGACGCGCAGAGCTGTTTTGGCCGATTTTTTGAAGAAAAGGCAATCCTGGCGAAATAATGTTTATGTTTAAAAAGGGAAAGTTATGTAGTCTTGCCGTAACTTGACTGGATCTCAGTCCCTTTACTAATCGCAAAATTTTCAAAGAGCGCGCGAAGCTAATCCAAGAGTCCGGAAAAAAAGGAACAACAACCGGCGGGAACGACAACGACTGCCCGAGGTTGCACACAGAATTTCGAAAAAAACAATATAGCAAAGGCTATAACTTTTTGCGGAAGACTTTTTTAATTTGGAAGGAGAAATACGTGAATTTTGCTGTCAGAATATTGATCTGCCCCAAAATAGTGAGCTAACACAGACAGAAGGTTTGCAAGCCTAGAACACGGTTCTTGCCTTTTTGGGAGTTTTTATACCATTGGAATAAATGGTAGATACAGAATTTACCGTGAATCTTTAATTTTTTCATTTGCTGAAGTTATAGAAGTGCTAGTAAACTCTGCTCTGTATTGTGGATAGTAACGGAAATCATCAAACTACAAATTTTTGAAGCCTTGATGCTTTTCCAAATAGGACGACTTACAAGAAAATTCTTGAATGAACTGCCCTTTTCATTCATTGATACCAGTTCCGTGAAACAAAGAAAATGGAACACTGTTGTTCCTGTAACAGCAGTTTTGAAAACTTGGATCGAGCTTTTTTACCTTTATCGAGTGACAAAACTTAAAACTTATGATTCGAATGTTTTTTTAAATCTTCTAAGCGGAAAACGGAAAGCGTTTTTATTTCCTCTCTTTGGCTACTTCCGTGACTGTAATTCCAAAGGAAACTAGTTTGCAATTCCCTTTGACATTCTCGCGGAAAAGAATTTCCTGATAAAAATATGTTTGATGAAGGGATTAAACATTGAGATTGTGAGTACTTTGCACAGTTATGTTAATTTTCATCTGTACCTTGATCAGACCAGTATCCTTTCGATCGTTCAAATTTTTGAAAACACATTGTTTCCAATTACTTCCCAGAGTTCCTGAAGGTCCCTGAAGGCCTGGGGCTCCCTGGCTCCCCTTATCCCCTACGTCACCTTTGGTTCCTCGTGGTCCCTGTCGGCCTGTGGACCCTTGAGGTCCCAATTTTCCTGGGGGTCCCTGTTTACCTGTGAAGCCTTGGTTTCCTGGCTTTCCTGCGTCGCCCTTGTCCCCTTGTGGTATATATTATATATATATATATATATATTATATATATATATATATTCTCATATATATTACCATATCAATATGGCGGACGGTCACGTTTTTAGAGCTCTTAGATGCTGGATCATTCTGCTTTATTTCTACGTTTGTTTCTCTGGTGCACTCCTTCCCAAGGCTAATCCTGACCTCGATATATCTGGTGATACTCTTCTCTTCATTTCTCACGGTCTGACGACAGTGAGAATTCAACCTTTTAACCATCGGTCACCGAGCTCGCAACATGCAAAGAATCTCCAGTTGCCGAATTCAAGACTTCTACTCCTTGGATGCCGTTTTGCGATTAATTCCTCTCTTTCCTTACTACTCATTCGTCTCGCAAATGATGTTGAACTTCAACCTGGTCCTGTTGGCTCCTCTAGTTCACATGACACCCTGTCTGATCTTCGGGATTTGTCAACGAAAAATGGGCTTACAATTATTCATCAAAATATCAGAGGCCTCGTGGCGAACAGGGATAGTCTATGCCAAATGATCGATGATTCCAAGCATATAGACATCATATCCCTCAGTGAGACTCATTTATCGGACAGTGAAGAGGCTCAAGTTCAACTGGATGGCTACACGTTCATTAATAGACCAAGGAAAACAGGCAAAGGTGGAGGTGTGGGAGTTTATATCTCCTTTTCTGTCCCCTTTCATAGAAGACTAGACCTGGAACGCGATGGGATCGAATGTATCTGGATAGAAATTCTATTTCCAAAATCTAAGGGTATCCTTATTGGTTTTATTTATCGCCCCCCGAGTTCCTCAAAGCATCTTTGTGCAGATTTTGAAAATAAACTGGAGTCGATGCTTTCTGCTGTATCATCTGAAAACAAAGAATGCATTTTGACAGGCGATATCAACTGCAACTATTTGGTAAGCTCAGACAACAAAGAACTGAAGGCAATGCTATTGTCTTTTGGCCTTAAACAGCTAATCAAGGATCCCACGAGGGTAACGCAAGATTCAAAAACACTGATAGATGTGATTTACACAAATCGCCCTCAGAATGTTTATAGTGTTAAAGTCATTCCCGCCGGCTTAAGTGACCATGATATGATTGGTTGTGTCCGGAAGCTGCATAACCATAAATTCCAGCCAAGAACCATCACCTGTCGAAACTATGCTAATTATGATCCTATATCCTTTTGCAATGATTTACGGTCCAATAGTTTCACACCTGTCTTTAAATCCTCCTGCGTTAATGAAGCATGGTCTTTTTTGAAAGCCATTCTGAAAGAATGTATTGATAAGCATGCGCCAGCTATAAAGAAGAGGATCAAAGGGAAACTCAGCCCATGGCTTACACAGAAGGTAAAGCAAGAAATGAATACCAAAGATCAGCTTTTGAGAAAAGCGAGAAAGACAAATCGTGAAATTGACTGGTCTTCGTACAAGCGCCAACGAAACAAAGTTAACGGTATGGTAAAAAATTGCAAAAGCAGGTATCACCGTGAACTCTTAGAGGAGACTGTGGGTTCACCTAACAAATTTTGGTCAGCTATTAAAAAACTATACCCTACAAAGTCTACAAAGGAACCAGGAGCAGCTTTTCTCGTTAATGAAGCAGTAGAAACCGACAAAGAGGTTATTGCAAATTTGTTCTGCAAATTCTTCACTGATGTTGCGCGATCTCTAAAAAGAAAGATCTTCCCTCTTTGCAATTTTGTCTGGAAAAGGCCCCTTACAATAGACACCCAGCAGCCGCTAGAGAACTTTGAGTTTAGATCAGTCTCGGAAAAGGTTGTCTTTAATGCATTAAAGAGCCTTAAGAGAAATAAGTCCTCTGGCCTTGACAACTTTCCTTCTGGAATGTTAAAGGACTCTGCTGATATAATAGCCAAGCCTCTCACGCATATAATTAACCTGTCTCTCGCAACTGGGTCTGTACCTACTGACTGGAAAGCGGCTAAAATTATACCACTTTTTAAATCTGGTTCAATGGCCGAAATCGACAATTATAGGCCTATTTCAATACTTCCTTCAATGTCAAAGATCCTGGAGAAAGTGGTATTTAAGCAGCTGATGGCTCATTTTGAACAGAATGGTCTACTTTCTCATTTTCAGTACGGCTTCCGTCGCATGCGCTCTACTGAACTGGCCGTTACTCATCTTACCGATGTTATCAGAAGAGAAGGTGAGAATGGTAACCTGACAGGCTGTGTTTTCATCGATCTATCCAAGGCGTTTGACACCATCAGTCACTCTGGCCTCCTGAGCAAGCTTTCAACTTACGGAGTTCGTGGAACAGAACTCGCATGGTTCACTGATTACCTTTTCTGCAGATCACAAGTTGTCCAATATAAAGGCGTGCTATCAGAACCTCAACCCATTCTCACAGGTGTTCCTCAGGGAAGTATCCTGGGTCCTATCTTATTCATTATCTTTTTCAACGATGTACATAAACCGCTTCAACACTCGAAGATTATCACTTATGCCGACGATTCAGTCATCTATACCTCTTCTAAAGATATTGATACTATACAGAGAAGCCTTAGCGAGGATATGAATAACCTGTGCGAGTGGTTTAAAGACAACGAACTGATCATTAACCTAAAAAAGGACAAGACGGAGTCTATGTTATTTGGAACAGCTAAAAGAATCAACCTTCAAGACAAGGAACTTAAACTTTCTGCTAATGGGTCACTCATCAATAATACCTCTACCTATAAGTACTTAGGTGTTCACCTTGACTCATCACTAAACCTCGCATCACATTTTGACCGAATCTATAAAAAAGCTGCAACCAGAATCAATCTCTTGCGATCAATTCGTCCTTTGATCGACCAAAAGTGTGCAGAAACGATCTATAACACTATGATCGCACCTATCTTTACCTATTGCGGAACACTTGGTCTTAGCTTTCCGGATTACCGAAAGGAAATGATAAAGAACATCGAACGACGAGGCTTTAAAGTTATCGGCAATAGTTCTTTTAATCCCCCATCCGTGAACAATTTGATCAAGCGTAAAAGCTGTCTGTTTGTTTTCGACTGTCTCCTGAATAATGTTTGCACACCCTTTAAGAACTACTTCGAAAGGCTGGTTCATTCTAAGGCCACTAGGAATAACGGTATATCAGTGAAATTACCCAAAGTTCGTTTAGAATTTGGTAAAAAGAGCTTCTATTACCAAGGAGCAAAGACTTTCAACAACCTGCCTGCTGAACTAAGGTCGTTAGATTCGAGACTGAAATTTAAGAACAAATTGCGAGATTATTTTAGTTAAATTCTATCTAAACGTGGTTATAGGTATCCTTTTCAGAGCATTTTTATTTAATTTTTAATTTTTTTTTTCATTTTATTGTATGCTTTTCTAGACCTTAAGATCAATGATTATATCTTGTTAAATTTTATTTTATTTATTTATTTATTATTTTTGACAGGACCCCAAGGACAACAGTGTCACACACTGATGGGTTTTTCAATCCTGTATAAAAATTCGTTATTATTATTATTATTATTATTGTCCCGTAGAACCACGAGGACCGGGTGGTCCTGCGATACCCGTGGGTCCCGCGGGTCCTGCGGGTCCTGGGCTGCCGGGAATGCCTGGTATCCCTGGTGCGCCAAAGGGAGCACCATAAGCATATGGTCCATATGGTGGATTTGGGTGAGTGCCCTGTGTCAAATCAAAGACAAAAAAAAAAAAAAAAACACAACACGTACTTTGTTTATATGCTGTCAGAAATATGAATATTTTTCTTGTGAACAATCATTGTGACAAATTCATCTTTCTAAGATTCGAAGTGTTCGGTCATGAAATCATCTTTCTGCTTCAATTTTTCAGTGAATATCTCCTTTTCCCTTCTCTTTTGGAATAACAGTGACGGAGAAAATCAGACGAAATGATGATAACTACAATGTTGTGATGTTTTTGGAAAAATAAACTTACCATGTTACAATTCGGCTTGCCGCCGCTGCTGTTGTTTTTTGCTGCATAGCAAAGAGAAATCAGCGGAAAAATCAGCCAAAATATCTTGGTTTTGGGCGACATGTTCAGACGATCTTGCATGTTGTTTATTCTTCAGCTGTTATGAGCTTGGTGGTGAGACCTCTTATCTTATTCAGCGGCTATCAACAGAGGTAAAATGATACAAAAATTAAAGAACACCCTTCTTTTATTGATGTTGCTGACGAAGTTTCGTGAAAACACGTTCTGGACATGATAAACTGATGCACGTGTGAAATAAGACATGAACTGTGATAGGTTGATTATTAACAATTTGACCAATTATATTGCTTCTTAAATGTTGTGCTTGAGTGCGCTGATATTTTAAAAACTCTTTCAAGAACTAATAAACAAATACATAACAAGCAGTCTTTCCACGTTGAAAATTTGAAAGAAAATATATAATGTTAGTTGCCGGAGTGTTCGTCTTGGAAAAGAGAATGAACTTGATATTTTATGTCACGATTTATTTGATCTTTTCATCTTTCTTTGATGTTTTGAGGCTTCACCGTCAGTTTTGATTAACGTTCTTTGAGCGATCGCATATCTGCGCTGTGGAACAAGAACTCAGTCGGACTTAAATGATTAGAAGGGCATAATTGTGAAATCCAAATTTGAATGACTCTATCAAACATGATTTCTGCTCATTAAGTGTTATGGTTTTGAAATAAACGACATATTTTCCTCTTTTTTTCGTAAAGATCTCTTTATACATCCTGTTCTCCTTTCCAAAATAAGTTCAGATAAGGAAACTGTATTATAAATGATTTGTTCGAAAGAGGCGAGCACAAACAGTTCTGCTGAATAGATCGGCTATTTAGACGATATCAACATCAAGCAAGTAACATTCAAAGCTCAAGGTTTCGCGAGCAATGCGACTAAATTTTTGCTTTTGATTTCCAGCATAATTGAGAGTCCTCTTTGCAATAAGAGTTAAAAAAAATTATTAACCTTGGAAACCGATTCCTTTTAGTCAAAAGCACTGTTTTCATAACTCTTGCAAAATTGATTCAATGACAGAAATAGAATTTTTTTTTGTTGTTGTTGTTTTTTACTATATAATAGTGCGGCTAAATCACAGGTTATAGAGGATTTTGTGTTTGTGCGAAGAGTCAACTTTGAGAAAAAAAGGTTGGTTGATAAAATTCCTCCAGAGGAAAAGCTTGATTGGGTTAAGATCAACGTTTAGTTAATTTCATCGACATGAGATTTGATGGAGTATAGAACTACATTCCCGTTGCGCTGTTTAGTGAAAGAATTACGTGGAAAATTCAGCGAACAGACTTGTTATTGCTCGTGAATTTATTTACCTTGAAGTATTTCAGCCCCTGTGTTGCCTGACAGGAAACTGGAGGAAGCTAAACGAAATGAGAAAGTGAGAATCAAGTTTAACTTTGTTGAAGACAGGAAAAGATGGATAAAAAAAATAAAAAACTTACTTGCCGGGTCCTTCTAAACCCCCGATTTCTGCTCAGAGCTCGTTTACGTCCCACATTACATGCCGATTTCTTTCCTTGCTTGTTTAGAGCCGATTCCTGTCAGAACAAGATCAAGAAACAAAACACAAGCGATACGGGAAAGTTTTCATTCTCTTAAGCACAGCTGTTCGTTAAATTACATTGTATGGTCGTAGCTTGTTTTGGGAGATCCCTGATAAAACCGAGCTGTTGATGAAAGCAAACTCATCTTTTAACTCAAAAACTGCTTTCACTATGAACTCGAATGAAAGTGGAAAACTTCTCAATCCTCCTGCAGCGAGACGAAGAAATTAGGTTGATATTACTATGAAATCCATTCAGGAATTCTGCGTGAAAAAAATATTGATTTTCTAAACGGCATATCCTCCTATAGGGCCAGTGAAAGACAAAAAAAAGCAAACTAAAACCAAGAGAAAATCAGCCAGCTTTTTTGAACTAACTCTCTGGAGTGTAGTTTTATGAAGATATACTTAATAGGACTGAAATAGAAATACTTACTTTTCAATTTCAAACCCTTTTCCTAATGGTTTATTTATTTTTTCTTTTCTTCTTGAGGCAATCACATTTCTCAGCCTTCAGCTCTATCAAGTAAACCTCAGTCAGACCATTTTAAATTGAAATACATGTCTTCTCATAAACAATTTCTATGATCTTTCGTAAATCCTACCTATTAAAGTCGATTTTTTCCTTGGTAGAGCTCTTCAAAATTTCTTAAAAATGCGACAAAGAACTCGATGTGAGGAGGCGAAATATATTTTTTAAAACAAAGAGAATTTTTCTTTCGCCATTCGAAGATTTCAAAATTTGACTTTACTTTAAATAAACTCCGCTATGCAAATGCGGGGTTTAGACACATGATTTTTTCCTTTGAAGAACATATGCCTCCCCCGAGATGGGGTAAGCTGGGAAGTTCACGAGACCGTGACCACAAAAGAATTCGATTCAAATATGTGTTAACCGCAAAATTAAAGAGTGTAAGTATTCTTTCATTCGTGTCCAGTATGTACCGCTACCGTATAAATAATTGTACAGCATTCAGCCTCGTTCAAGAAATGTTTCCGTTCAAAACGAAGCTAAAAAGAATTATTCAGACCCAAAATGATTAATTTCCTTGGGTGCAGTGTAAATCAGTTTTCTCTTGTCTCTCGCTTTCTTATCACCAATAATTTCTGAGTGTCAGTAAAATGTCTCTAAAAAGTGATTTAGAAATTAAAGTCATTAATTCAGTTCGTGCCATTAAAATTTGACAAGTACACTCTACGTCGTTCCTCTGATAGTACGACCTGAAAAACGAAGTTAGATGATTAGATCAGACATGTTTTAAGTCTAGTTTTTTTCAAAAGGAAAAGCAAGAAATTCTGTGGCTGGCAGACTGATAAAAGACTTGGTTCAGGCAAATCAATTTCAAAAGCGAAATAATTCCTGTTAACAAACTGTCAAACTGAAGCTAATTTGAATATGTCGTCTTTTACTATACAAATAAAATACACTACTGTAGTAAACACTTAGAGTATTCTTTCTTCTTAATTCTTCTTGATTACACATGGCACGTAATCTGACAAACAAATTTGATCAATCACTTTGGTTCAACGAACATATTTGAAAAGAATGTTTCAAGTAATCCAGAGAAATAAATGCAATACTTGGACTTTGACGAGGCCTTGTTTTTTTTAGCCGGATCAGGAAAAGAGCAAGAGAGAGAAATTTCTTTATATTGCATAGCTATGTGATCAACTTTGATAAATATTTCGATTATTTTCGTAGTTTTGTTGTCAGATGATACTAAAGTATACACGCTTGAAGACAGAACTGCATAAATTAAAGTAAAGAGGCCTTAAACGTAGGAAAGAATTGATAAAGTCGTCCTCGATGCGACAAGAAGATTACTAAGTCTGAAGCGATTTTTGCGGAGTTCATCAAAACGTATTTGAAAATATTTTGGTCTATCGGTGCGCAGATCTCATCTTTGAGCAATTGGCCTTGCGTCAGTGAGGAACATGTAGAGATTGACTGTCAAAAAATCAGTCTAAACTCTTACAAAACGTGTGAGATTTCATCGGAAAATCAACGTCAGATAAAAGTTTGTTTCATATATGCGACAAGCTTGTACATAAACAAACCGTGCGAACATTATGGAGGAAAATTCTCTTACTTGAAAGTAACGTGCGGCTGAATTCCATACTTTTAACGTTTCTCATCGTTGAGGTGCACCCGCCATACCTTAGTCAGGAATGTTTCCCACTCTTACCAGAGCGAAAAACCGTCGACTATTTTTCCATAACTGTTCCGGGAATAGCAGAGTAGTGTTGAAGTTCATTTATCGAGTAAATTGAGAGCTGAATGATTGAGAATATCAAAACCGGTGAAAATCTTTCAATACAATGAACACTACCCAACACTACTACTTGCGAGACGATTTGTTTTTCACAATATTTTCATAAGCCCAGGTTCTTGTTCCTACCAGTTCGTTTATAACATTGTTGTTAATCGCTTTATGTTGATCAAAACTGACATATCTGCCACAAAAGTTTACTTTGGGCCTTTCTACAATTCATGTTGGTAGCTTCTCTCCTTTTGAATGCAAATGTTCTCTGACTCGGATCTGAAGCAATCAACTCTTTTTGCAATAAAGATAAATAAGATTAAACGTGAAGAAATTTATATTTAAACCTATCGTGCAGTGAAGCAGCCCTTTTTGAAAAATTGATCTCCATCCGTCTGTTTTAAGTCTTTAACTCTGTTTCGAGACTGATGCGAATAATCTTATCGCAAATCAACGTACACATGAATGATGTATCCGGATTTATCGTCAATGGTTACATTGGTTGTTGATAAAACTGTTACAACGAAAGTGACCGAGATATCCTGAGGTTTTAGATGGAAAAATAAATCCCCTCTGGCCACCCTCTCCTTACCTAGTCTACCTTCCAAGACTGCCATGGATTGTGCTAGCAGCCTCTGCCATGTCATAAAGATTGTACTAAACAGTCTTACAACCCACTCTACATAGTTCAAAGGCGCAACCTTAAAATTTCCGATTTCACAACTTTGCTGTAATTTATCCCGACTGTTAAATCTAAGGTTCCTAATTGTGCTATTGTTCTTATTCTGCTGTTAGATATTGAGAAATGAAACCATGGTAGTATACGACATTATGCCTGTGGGGGTGGTACTTCTTCCACGTAGATCCGGGACACTGAGTTCCAGCCTGTGTGTGCGTTAGCAGATCCGTAACTATTACAGTTACCGACCCAGAATCCAACGCGCACAACACCTTTGTGGACTATCTCGCACACACCCTCGATATGACGTGGGCGGTATAAATCCTTTTTGGCGCCATTTCCATTTTTTTTTTTTTTTGTCACAAATTCATCTTTCTGAGAATCGAAGGGTCGGGCAATCTTCCTTCTGTTTGTAGTTTACAGTGAATTTCTCCTTTACCATTCTCTTCTGGAATGACACTGACTGACACAATCAGACGAAATGATGACAATGTCAATGTTGGGATATATTTGGAAAGAATAAACTTACCATGTAACCATTAGATTTTCCGCCGCTGCTGCTGTTTTTTGCTGCATAGCAAAGAGCAATCAGCGGTAAAACCAGCCAAAACACCTTAATGTTGGGCGTCATGTTCACACCAGCTAGTATGAAGTTTATCCTTCAGCTGTAAATAAAGAGAAAATAAGACAAAGTACATTAACTGCAGAAGGATTACAAGAGTTGGTTTTTTCGATTTGTTTCTGCTTTCATCAGTAACACAAAACATGACACCCAATGGTTCTCTTGATTTGGTATTGCAAGAAGGATCTTAGGAGTTGTAGCAGTTCACAGCGATTCTCTGGCCTCAAAACCAATTTGATCTTGAAAATAGCAATGGACTGACTGATAAGAGAAAAAAACGCGAAAAGAAAATTTGCTTATCAATTCACGCCACAGTTAACAAGAAAAGCTGTTCAGGTAAACCTTTGAGGAGAGGGAGCTCTTATCAACAGTATCACCTGAAATTGTGCGCTAATTTACCTCTACAACTGCAAGATAACTTTCTTCGTTCCTCAAAATGTAAGACTAGCGGGGAGAGCTGGTACCCTTTTAGAGTGGCTAGTAGCAGAGGGAAATACTACACAGAGATCATTTCTAGTAAAAGGAAAACTTAAAGATTAATAATTAACACGACTGGAAGTAACATTTCACATTCTCTTGTTTGGCAGTATTGTTTTTTGGAATACTCAGCTAATCTACTTTCCTGACTTTTGAAAAATGAGTTACATTGGATCATCTTATCGTGTGCGTTACCCGAGAACAAATCGTAGAAAGCTCAAGAGGAAAAATATGAGACGCGAAAATAACATTCCTAACAACTGGAAAAGTGGAGAAAAGAGTCACGAACTGGATCCTCCATCAATCATAATTTGTCAGTGATAATTCGTTTTCTTCTTACACTGTTATTTGTTTCCCTCCAGTTGTTGAAGGCATTCTCGTCAAAACAAGATCTTGGATCATCTTAGCATATGTGTTGTCTGAGGGCAAGTTGTAGAGAGCTCAACAGGAAAAAATGTGACGTGCCTGTTGTTTGCTGAATTTCTTATTACCAGTCCTCTTTTTTCTAACATCAGTACTCCAAAAGAAACTTTCAAAAAAGGAAAGGCAGAAAAGTCTCCATCTATCAAATTTATTACAGTTGAACTAATCGATGGAACTTTTTTTCATTTAATATCTGAATTTTCTCTAACAATTTGTTCGTAGTGAAAGAGCGAGCGAAGTTTTAATTTCAGTTCTACAGCAAATATACGCTCTCGTTAAGTCACGGTCCTTCTAAATCCGTTCAATTTGGACATTTGTATTGTAAACTGAAGGAATTCAATGAGAAAAGGCTGCATTAAATCCCCTTGTGTCTCGTTGGAGTGTATCATTCGAATTTAGTTTTCGTGGAGGAAAGACCAGATTTATACGCGCCATTGCAGCAAACAAACGAGTAAACTCTCACAACTTCAAAACAAAAAATTTGAATTTACTTACAATTACTTTCCTCGCCGTTTACTTAAGGAACAGAAAACATTGTCGTGAGAGTTCGTTGTTTTTTAAAAGTGTACATGCGCTTTCTTTTTTTCATACGCGCTCTCTAATTGACAGGTGTCAGATTGAGACAGATACTTGTCAAAATAATGTTTCAAAATTTGTTTGGAAGCCTTTTAAATCACCTTTATCATTACGCAAATGAAATGGTAATGATAAAGGTATTTTAACTACCATTTACTCGCTCAAAAAGTGTTTAGTTTATGGAAGATTTTGACGTCTTTACAACCCTAAATCATTCGGGTTCTTTCGGAAAGAATTTCGTGAAGTTTTTTAAAAAAATAGATATGTTATTTACCGGCATAGGGTCGGTCCGTATGGTGAAAAATTTATTTATGTTGTCCCTCAGATCTGTGTTATTCCACCCCGAGCGCGAATGTGACTTTAGTGTGTTTTAAAACTTATCACCATTCAATGTTCACGTCGTCATACCAAAAACGGATGGAAATGAAATATCGACCGCATAAGTACCTATTTTGAACATAATTGAGTTCATTGGGTATAATCTGTGCTTAAAAAAGTGAATTGAAAACGAAAAAAACAGCGCTCATCAGAAATAGTAAAGATTCTGAATTTACGTTCAACTATTTGTTACAGTGATGCGACCTTGAAGTGGCAATGAAACGTTTTTATGGTGGGAGAGTAAGTTTTCATGATCTCGTCAATGTCGAGGTAAAATATCCGTTTAAAGTTCACGAAATGCAGAGAAAAGGCGAGCGCATCAAAGCTCGTCTTCAACATTGTGTAAGCCAGATAGACATGAATATAAATTGATCAGATTATTACAGTTTTATTGAATTTCATCACAATTATGGTTAGTCAGCTTGTGGCAATCTAGGTTATATCCACTATATTTCAAAGTATTTGATTGTGAAATGCCTTCTATTATTGACAATCAAAGAACTTTAACAACAACTACACGTATATCGCAAGATATTTTATTCTAAATAAAATAATCAAACTTGAACACACGCCTCACGTTCCATAACTGGGTCAGTAAGTGATGCCCATTATGCCTAATTATTTTTGCCCAGTCGAAGTCACAGATGTAATATTACAACAATTTCAGAAGCAATAAAAACCCTCCTCCTCTTCGTGTGGAGTACCTTTAAGATGAAATCTCGGGTTTTGCTTGCTGAGATGTGGAAGGCTTACTACAGTTCGCCTATAATTTTTCGCTAGCGTACACATTTGAAGTTTAAAATATTAGACGTTGTGACTTAGTAATAATAATAATAGGACTGACTAGAGTTTCATTTGGTCTTTAATCAAACGATTCATTACGAAATCTGACCATCGCAAAGCGGGAGTCCGATTTGTTAATCACGAGCATGATTACAGACCGAACTGGACAATATGAAGTACTGTTAACAATAATCACAACCATTTCAATTTCCGAGAAGATCAAATGAATTAATTTGAGAAAGGGCTTTCAGAATTGATTATCTAAGGTAAAAACCTCCCCCATTTTGGAAATTCGCCAGTTTTGAAGGGTAAGTGGTTATTACTATGGTTATTGTTATTAATTATGTGATTGGTGGATTTTGCTGAGTGGACTTGGTATGATTGGCTGCTTTAACTGTCCGGTTATAGGTGTCCGGTTACGGCCAATTGTCCGATTACATCTGTACATAATAATTAGAGAAAATAAAGCAACTAACGGATCAATCACATCTGAGGAAATTGTAATGGTTATGATTTAGCCTGATAAGTTTCATTACTACGATAACGTCTCCACCAGGTGTCTGTTACTGGAGCCATTCAAATTCTTAAGGAAAGAGGAAAGGGTTATTCTTTTGGTCAAACAAGACGACTATTGTCGGATGATGAGCTTATAGCTTTCAAACGAATGAATCTATTACAATTATCCTGATTTTTTTTTATTCTTTAAAGGTGATAAAAGGAGAGTAAGAGAAATCCGAGCGCGTTGCTCTTGCAGATATAAGTTATTTGCCAATAAGGTTATCAGCTTGAATGTTTTTGTTTGTTTGTTTGTCTGTTTTTTTTTTTTTTGGCCTTTAAATAATAATTCGACATCCACTATTATTACATATATAGGACGGTTCCATGTCGGAGTAGCAACAGAAGCCTAACATTTTCGGTATATACAGGACTTAAATCTCTTCTACGCATGAATCTCAATTTTTTGGAAAGAATCCCGTCAGGAAAGAAGTTTGTAGCAGGACTCACTCGTGGGTGCTCTTATTTTCTACACTGAGATAAACGGTCAAACGTCAAAACATCATAAACGAGGTCTTTGAAATGAGCTCAGCCCTAATAACCAAACACACACCAAACTCTCCTGGATTTTTAGTGAAAACCTTCTTTTTATTTGCGAGTTGTCATGGCAGCATCCCCACTCTATATAGTTCAGAAGCTAAAAATGCCCGATTTCACAACTTTACTGTATTTTATCCCGACTGTTAAATCTAAGATTCCTGATTGTGCTATTGTTCTTATTCTGCTGTTAGATATTGAGCAATGAAACCATGGTAGGTTATAAGACATTATGCTTGTGGGGGTGGTACTTCTTCCACGTAGATCCGGGACACTGAGTTCCAGCCTGTGAATGCGTCAGCAGATCCGTAACCTTTACAGTTACCGACCCAGAATCCCACGCGCACAACACCTTTGTGGAATTTCTCGCACACACCCTCGATATGACGGGGGCGGTGTAAATCCTTCTTCTTGGCGCCATTTCCATTTATCATGTAGACTACGCCATCAATCGCAGCAGGAGCTGAGCACTCCGCACCATTGAAGGTGAAATACCATCGTCTGCAGCAACCATGGCAGCCGTAGAGGCGGAGGTTGCCACTCCAAAACACGCGCAGAGCTGTTTTGGCCGACTTTTTGATGAAAAGGCATTCCTGGAGAAATAAATGATGGTTAACTGTGAACAATATGAATTCAAATACCCCTGAGAGAAATAAGTCCTAAATTAATTTCTTGGAGTCCATTCAAGGGAATCTTTGGTTACATGTAGGTTTAACTTTACAGTTTCGGTTTTTGGCTTACTGCATAACCCGATCTTCTTTTAGTTAAAAATCATCGTCAATTCAAAGCAATAATGTCAAATACGGTTTTGTAAAAATTACAATTAAATGAAAGAAAAACCGAAATACCTTTATCAAGCCAGTGTCTTTATCATCGTTCAAATTTTTGAATACACATTGTTTCCAATTACTTCCCAGAGCTCCTGGAGGTCCCCGGAGGCCCGGGGCCCCCTGGCTTCCTTTATCCCCTACATCACCTTTGGTTCCTCGTGGACCCTGTCGGCCTGTGGACCCTTGAGCTCCCATTTTTCCTGGAGGTCCTTGCGGACCTGTAAGGCCTTGGTTTCCTGGCTTTCCGGCGTCGCCCTTGTCCCCTTGTGGTCCCGTAGAACCACGAGGACCGGGTGGTCCTGCGATGCCCGTGGGTCCCGCGGGTCCTGGGCTCCCGGGAATGCCTGGTATCCCTGGCGCGCCAAAAGGAGCACCATAAGCACAGAGTCCATGCGGTGGATATGGGTGAGCGCCCTGTGTTTGGAAAAAAACACACAGAACTTCTGTTCATGGAAGAATTATAACTACTTTTTTTTTTTTTTTTTTTAAGATCAATTGGGACAAATTCATCTTTTTAAGAATCAAAGTGTCGGGCAATCTTTCTTCTGTTTCCAGTTTTTAATGAATTTCTCCTTTACCATTCTCTTCTGGAATGACACTGACTGAGACAATCAGACAAGATGATGGCGATAACAATGTTGGGATATATTTGGAAAGATTTAACTTACCATGTAACCATTAGATTTCTCGCCGCTGCTGCTGTTTTTTGCTGCGTAGCAAAGAGCAATCAGTGGTAAAATCAGCCAAAGCACCTTAATGTCGGGTGACATGCTCACACAAGCTTGTATGACGTTTATCCTTCAACTGTAAGTAGAGTGAAAATAAGACAAAGCACATTAATTGCAGGAGGGTAACAAGAGTCGTTTTTTTCGATTTGTTTTTGCTGTCTTCAGTGACACAAAACATGACACCCAATGGTTCTCTTGATTTGGTATTAAGAAGGATTTTGAGAGTCGTAGCAGTTCACAGCAATTCTCTGACCCCGAAACCAATTTGATCTTGAAAATAGTAATGGACTGACTAATAAGAAAAAACGCGAAAAGAAAATTTGCCAGTCAATTCACGCCACAGTTAACAAGAAAAGCTGTTCAGGGAAGCCTTTGAGGAGAGGGAGCTCTTATCAAAAATATCACCTGAAATTGTGCGCTAATTTACCTCTACAACTGCAAGATAACTTTCTTCGTTCCTCAAAATGTAAGACTAGCGGGGAGAGCTGGTACCCTTTTAGAGTGGCTAGTAGCAAAGGGAAATACTACACCAATTCTAAGCAAAGCGTTTTATCAGTCCATCGAGTTGGCGGTCGTAAAAACATGTTTACAACATGAGCAACTGTCGTATGCGTAGGATACGTCATCAAATCCGATTGGCTGGATCGACATCAACTCCACCAACCAGGTAACCCCTTAAATTCTGAATTTGAATGTATTATCGTGTAAAATGTGCCTCGAAAAAATATGCTATGCGCTTCAATTTGAGCTGATTTTCGGAGAAAAATCAAATTTAATATTGTATTGTTGGTTAAATAAACGATACGATTTACTATTGTTGACTCTACAACGATGGGTTAAAGGTTTTTTTTTTTATCTTCATGGATTTCTCAACTGTCGGCCCTCCGTAAGAAAAACTCGATCAGAATAGTTCGAATTAGAAATTTGATCCAATGTTCTGATTTTGAAGCCAGTAAATTTCAACCTTTTTTGTCGGATAGCTCTTGAGGTCGTTTACTGGCTACACGGTTTTTTCGAAAATTGTTTACAAAAAATAATTTGTCGCGTGCAATTTGAATTTATGCTAAAATGCACTGGTGTGAAATTTAAAGTGAAGTCATTTGAAACATGCTTCTTTCGACCGATTGTGAAAGAAATTAAATAGATATGACAAGATTCCTTTGAGAAATTATGCAATCAAGCACGTGTGCAGAGATCATTTCTAGTAAAAGTAAAACTTAAAGATTAATAATTAACATGACTGGAAGTAACATTTCACATTCTCTTGTTTGGCAGTATTGTTTTATGGAATACTCAGCTAATCTACTTTCCCTGACTTTTGAAAAATGAGTTACATTGGATCATCTTGTCGTGTGCGTTGCCTGAGAAAAAATTGTAGAAAGCTCAAGAGGAAAAAAAAAAGGAGAAACGAAAATAACATTTTTAGAAACGGGAAAAGTGGAGAAAAGAGTCACTAACTGGATCCTCCATCAATCATAATTTGTCAGTGATAATTCGTTTTCTTCTTACACTGTTACTTGTTTCCCTCCAGTTGTTTGAAGGCATTCTCGTCAAAACAAGATCACGAAACAACTTATTAACTATGCAGAATTAGCGGAAGTTTCTCATCACAAAACAAAAAATACGAAACAGAGTTAACTGACAGGGTTTCCTATTTATTTCTTGGTTATCAGTTAATTTATAGCGAAGCTAAGATTATCGAAGCGGATCAAAAAATACTTGAATGCAATAACTTATGTTACTCTATTATTCTGTCCTTTGTGGAATTTCTGACCACTTAATTTTGTATCTGTTTTTCTCTGGCTGTTTTCATTTTTGAGACAAATTCTGTTCTTAGTTTTGCCTGCCTTTATGTCTTGATTCTAGAGACTTATAAATATTCGCCAGTGTAATTAAATTACAGTTTACGTCTCTTTACCAGGGTAGAAGAAAGAATATTGTTTTCGTTTGTTTTCCGCTGTAAAGTACAGGAAATGATAGAATAGAAGGTAACAAGAGCAGTGGAGAATATACATTAGTTTTCATGCAGCGAATATAGAAATGTTTTTTTGTCATGGTGTACTTGTTTATTCTGACTTTCTTTGCCCAACAGCGAAGTTATTCCTGTTACCTGACAAAAGGTCGTTACCATGTGTCACATAGTTTACCACACTGCTCTAAAACTCGTACAACATAAACCTTCAACAGTTTTCAATGGCCATGAAATAAGGTTTTAGTCTGTCAGGATCATGGGGACTTTGTGACTGAACATAAGAAGTAAGACGAAATGTTTTGTTATCTAGATGACCGAACACTTCGCGATAAGTAATTTGTGGCGCGGATATAATTCTTGATAAGCACAGGAGTAAAATTCAAAGTAAAGTCGTTTGGAACATTGGATGTAACATGATCCGTCTTTGAAATTATCTGAAAAAGTGAAATTATTCGTATAAATATCATCTCTGGTACTAGCGTACGTAAAAACGTGGGTTGGAAAATTAATAAACATGACTTAGAAAGAAGAAAAAAGAAAGATCTTGTCACCAGCAAAATCACAAAATTCAATGAATTCTTAGGAACTGCCACATGGAATATGATTGTAAGGAAGATGTCATTCACGTTCTCTTGTTTGGCGGTATTATTTTATGAATCACTCAGCTAATCTTCTTTTGCTGACTTTTGAAAATGATATACCTTGGATCATCTTCGCGTATGTGTTGCCTGACGCCAAGTTACAGGAAGCTGAACAGGGAATAATGAGAAGTGTCTTTCGTTTGGTGAACTTCTTATCATTAAAACTTATTTTTGTGTTCAGTTGGCAACAAAACAGTTTCTTGTTTATTTCCGCTGGCTGTTTTCGTAGTTAAAACACTTTCTATTCTCACTTGTACCTTCCTTTATGTCTTAATTTTTTTTCCCGCCGGAAAAACTAGGAAATGAACAGAATAAAAGATCTCACATGCAGGGCTGATTATACATTAGCCTTCAAAAAACGAAAACAAAAATCTCTCTCAATCTGGTGTGCTTGTTTATCCTGACTTCATTTGAAAAGTGAATTTATTCCTGTTATATGTCAAAAGGTCGCTATTACGTGTGAATAAAATCGAGCAGATTTGAACATCACGTTCGTTTTATCAACGCAAAGTGTTCTTTTTTCTAACATCAGTACTCCAAAGATCACATAAAAGACCCATTCAACTGTGTACATTACCTATGAACTAAATTTTCAGTTTATTAGGATTAAGAGATCATTAAAAGAGTATTTTACTATGCAAATTGCCATGTTGGCTTAGTTGACAATTTTTTTTCATTTGACCGGAGTCGTGACGCTCCAACCAAAATAGCTGACTTTAGTCGCTGATTGATTAAAAGAAATTTTCAAAAAAGTAAAGGAAGAAAAGTCTCCATCTATCAAGTTTATTAAGAATCTTGTATCTTAGGGCTGAAGTATTACTCGAAAGCAGAGGGTTCAGAGGACAGCCTTATCTAATGCTCCAAGTGGTTGTGCAAACGGTTACAACGCCAAGCAAACGAGATCGACCAAAATAGACTAAATATGATCCATGTTCCCTCTTTTAATGTCCTCATGAGTATCAAATGAAGCCCAAATTACCTGGCTGAGAATTAAGATCAGCTGAGCTATTTTACAACTGAGGCACAATCATGACAGTAACATAATTGCGACTGGGAAAATGTCACCTCTACCTGTGGGATGTGGTCCACTGATTCCGTGCTGTTGACCAAACACAGCCCTTTTATTAATTTGGTCATAAGCTTGGCACGTCACATTCTGTTTCAACAGATCACGTAGAGAGGAGAGGAAGGAAAAATGTCTGATTCTGTTGAATTAAGAGAAAATGATATCCTGTTATCTTCTTTTGGTTGAATGCGAATGTTTTAACTCCATTTGAAAAGCGAAATTATTCACGTTAACAAACGGTCTTTACCGTGCCCGTGATGAATGATGGAATCGAACATCTATGTAAACAGCATTTTTGCTGTGTGAAAACGAAGCATTTCACGTCCTATAATGGCCTAGACATGCAAAATAACATAAAACGTCAACAAAGTAACTGCGAAGTAAGATGTCGGTCCTTCAGGGTCAAGGAAGTATTGAAAGAAATAAAATCGTTGTTGCAATATATGCAAATATTCGTTGATATCATTGACAAGTTTAATTAATGAAAGTGAATTACATGGGTGTTAACAAACAAGCAAATTGGCTGATTGCATTAATCGATTTAAAGTTTGTCGGCAGTCTTTTTGAAGTCTTCAATAAACCATAAGATAAAAGATACGTATCCTATGTTACATAAACGAGAAACTGTGTAATGATAATTACAACCATACACTATGGCCAAAATTAAAATTATGAAATTATAGCAGGTTGTGTTCAAAATTAGTCTATTCACAAATGTGTTCATGAGACGTTCTGTGTTAAGCTTTGGGCGGAGGCAAACCTTGCTACGTAAATTATATTGCTGATGTTTAAGCTTCGGCAGAATTTTATTTAACGGATGATGGCTTAGGGCCCTAGCTCCACTAAATAATTTCCTGCATATGCATGATATCCTTGAAATATAACGCCGCTTGTAACATCTGTTTTAAAACGTCCTGTACTGTTTTTAGATCGCGTTTATACGCACCATACACTGAAAGGCCATAAGTTAAATTAGGTAATACAATTGTCTTAAACTGAGGAGATCTATTTCATTCCGGTCATATTGTTCCTTTCTCAGAGTACTTAATATATGGAGGCACTTGTTAGCCTTAATTAGTTTGACCTTAACATGAGAACTAAACTTACAATCACTCTGAAGTGTGACTCCGAGTAAGCACAAGTCATTATGTTGTGAAATGCAATTGACTGGATTGTAGGTGTCCTTGTTCGATTTCTTTTTAATTACAAGCTCTTTGCATTTACTAGGATTACATGACATACAGTTCTCTCGCGACCAATTTAAAAACTCATTCACTAAGGTTACAGAGGTATCAGTATTGCCTAGTACCGGTGCAACAATTATCGAATCATCAGTATATTTGAATAACGCAGGGAAGCCATCATATGTAATTTCAAGATCGTTAAGAAAAATATTAAAGAGATGGGGGCCACTAACACTATCTTGTGTAGTACCCTTATTGACGGCTTTCCACCTGCCTGCCGGATAAAAAACTGTGATGCCAATTAACAAGATATGGAGATACATGTAATTGTTTAAGCTTGGTGGACAAGAGATTATGTTTCACCGAGTCAAATGCCTTGGAAAAATCCATGGTAAAAAGTCGCACAGCTTTACAGTTATTATCATCTAGGTATTTGCCAATCTGGTGCTGAATAGCTAAGAGCGCAGATGTGCAATTCCAACCCTCTCTGTACGCGAATTGGCTACTGCTCAGGTGATCAGGCCAGGAATTAACGATCTAAGGAAATAAGGGCTGCATTCCTTCGCTGTGATACCAGATGAACGCCTTTCCACTATTGCTTCGAGCCGATCACTCCCTGTTTATAGCGCTTTCTGTTCTCACTGATCACTTCCGAAATCCTCTTATTCAACTCTTCCAGCCGAGCTTCATCGGACACCCTCGATTTCGACCTCAACATGGCTTTAACAAGAGGGGTCATCCAGGCAGGGTCACGCGATGACATAGTGACCACCCTTACTGGCATACACCTATCCAAGTGACCCCGTATAGTTGTCTCCAGTTTGTTCACCGCCTCGTTTACATTCTTGGTATCAAGTACCTCTCGCCAGTCCTCTTCTACCAAAGCTATGTACAAATCCTGTTTCCTATGTAGACGTCTTTCCCGGATATGAACTTTACGACGCACAGGGCGAAGTTTAGATCATGCAGGCAAAATCACACCTCGATGATCCGATTTTGTTGACACGAAAAAAGGGTAACACCTTGCAAACAAATCCGGCCGGTTCGTTAAACAGTTTATGTGAATCGCCAAGTGTCGGGAAATCAACCGAAATCAACATTCCGGCCAGACAATTGTTGTAATCCATCCATGTCCAACTGATTGAAATCTCCGCCCAGAACAATGACGGTTTATGGGTGGGCGTCAAGTAAATTATCCGTGTAGCCAATAAGATAGTTCATTAGATCGTTCTCTGTATAGCTATGTTTAGGCGGGTGATAAATTCCGCATACAAGAAATCTATGCCCTGTAGAGAGGCAGAGAGTTATGCAAATTACTTCATAAAGCCTTGAGAGATAACCATCCACAACAGATAGATTTTTCTTGACGTAAACAGCCACGCCGCCCTTGTTCCTCATATCAAGTCCTGAACAGTTCCTATCCCTCCTATATATATATTAAAATCCGCAATATTCACCACAGTATCGAGCTGGTCTAGCTTTAAATGGGTCTCAGTAACAATGCACACATCAATATCATGGTTTTTCAAATCTGCCTCCAGGGCAACAGACGCCCGCACCTTGTTCTTTTGGAGAGACTGCAGATGTCTTAAAAGATGTTGCAGATGTCTTAAAAGATGTTGTCAACTGTTTTAAACCTTGAATGACGAGCACCAAAATGCTTACTCTCAAGTGAACTTTTGTTAAACTTGGGTACAACTATTTTATAGCGAAACTCTCCTAAATATGGTTCTTTTTCTTCTTTTCGACGGAATTTTACAAATGTAATTGGACTCCCGTTTAAGATTATCTCATTACGCGTGAATGCTCCCAATCTATATCACGAAAGACCTTAATTTGTATTGGCCCAGAGCTTGTGATTTTACTGCCAATTTTATAATGATACATCCTAGTTTGAAAATACACGAGTGCCGGTGGTGGTGCGTTTTTTCCACTCTTATCGAGTCCACTTTATCATCGGACATCAATATATCCTTTGTTAGCTGTGTACATTTTTAAAATCATTCTGCTCTTTTAACTTTATTTGCCTGTCAAAAGGTGCTCCTTTGCGACACCAAAATGTCTATCAAAACGTTTGAATTAATCGAAGGAAGAAAACAATTTACACCTCTACGTTTGACAACAAGATTGTGCATTGATCATTTTCTAACATGAAAAATTAAGTTAAATGATAAGATCGGACTAACAATTATTCGTAAAAGTCTAATTTTCCAATAAGAAATGCCAGAAATTCGTTATTTGGTAGAATGATAAAAGACATGTTCCCTACCAGTGAATTAAAAGACGGAATAATTCCTGTTCAAAAACTATCAAAACATCACTAATTTGAATGTTTTGTCGACCTTCGCTGTCTAATGGAATGAAATATACTGATAAAACTCGGGGTGTTCTTTCTTCTTGATATTATACAAGGCAAAAATTTGATTATCAGTTTCGTATTCTTCTCTTAGTTTTACGACATGCTTTAGAGGAACTTATAGGGCAATCTTGAGAAATACATGCGCCCAGTTTGCGCGCTGGATGAAGGAACTGAATTCAACAGAAAAGAATTCAGTTATTTTGAGCATGCAGAGCTATGAAGTCGTTCTTGTTGCGCTTTTGGTTTCCCGTGAAACTAAAATACTTATTTGAATCTGAAGCCACAGAGGCATAAAGAAGAGAAGCCTCGAAAGTAAAATTTAATCTTACAGGCAGAGATCAGCCAGTTTATTCTAGAAAAACGTAAGCGAATCACTTGAAGGGATTTATAAACTAAATCATCAGGGGTGCGAAAAAAGGTTAAAAGTTTGAACTGACGAAAACTTGAACCATCCAAACAAAATGAAGGAAAATTATCTCACCTACAAGAAATTCACGACTTAATTCCTTTAAAAGTAGCAAATTAACAATGTTTGGTTGATGCGTTGACCTGCGTCGGTTATTGTTAAAGTATACCCGCCAAACCACCTTCAAGAATATTTCATTCCCATGCGTGAGCGAAATCATGTCGGTTATTTCGCCACCACTTCCGGAAGCGGCTCTGTAAAAATAGTTACAAATTACTCACCAAATCAATTGAGAGCTATTGAGAATATAACAGAGCGGTGAAAATTGCCAGTTCGTTTATTATGTTGTAGTTATAGGCTATATACCGGTTGATCAAAACTGACGTATCTGACACAAAGGTTTCCTTTGGTCCCTTCAGGAATTCATGTTGGTAGCTTCATTCCTTTCGAGTGCAAATGTTCTGTGATCGGTAACTATCAACATTTTTTCGGTGAGGATACAAAAGATCAAACACGAACGAATAACGTTCGGAAATAAATTGCACCATATTCGCAATTCGTAACTGCGTTGCTTTTACACTCTTAAGGGTTATACTTTTAGTCAAACAAGACGACTATTTTCGGATGATTAGCTTATGGCTTTCAAACGAATGAATCTATTACAATTATCCTAATTTTTTTCATTCTTTAAAGGTGATAAAAGGAGAGTAAGAGAAATCTGAGCGCGTTGCTCTTGCAGACATAGGTTATTTGCAATAAGGTTATATCAACTTGAATGTTTTTGTGTTTGTTTGTTTTTTTGGCTTTTAAATAATAATTCGACATCCACTATTATTACTAGTACAGGACGAGCAAAGACTACAGTTCCATTTTGGAGTAGCAACAGGTTAACATGCTCAACCATAAGTACTTTGGGTTCGAAGCCTAACATTTTCGGTGTTTAAAGGACTTAAATCTCTTCCACGCATGAATCTCAATTTTTCGAAAAGAATCCCGTCAGGAAAGCATTTTGTAGCAGGACTCGCTCGTGGGTGCCCTTTTTTTTACACTGACTTAAACGATCAAATGTCAAGACATCATAAACGTCGTCTTTTAAATGACCTTAGCCCCAATAATGAAAAACACACCAAACACTCCTGGATTTTTAGTGAAAACCTTTTTATTTGCGAGTTGTCATGGCAGCATTCCCACTCTACATAGCTCAGAGGCGCAACTTTAAAATGCCCGATTTCACAGCTTTTCTGTAATTTATCCCGACTATTAAATCTACGGTTCCTGATTGTGCTATTGTTCTTATTCCGTTGTTAAATATTGAGCAATAAAACCATGGCAGTATACGACATTATGCCTGTGGGGGTGGTACTTCTTCCACGTAGATCCGGGACACTGAGTTCCAGCCTGTGTATGCGTCAGCAGATCCGTACCCACTACAGTTACCGACCCAGAATCCAACGCGCACAACACCTTTGGGGACTTTCTCGCACACACCCTCGATATGACGGGGGCGGTGTAAATTCTTTTTGCCGCCACTTCCATGTACCATGTAGACTACGCCATCAATTGCAGCAGGAGCTGAGCACTCTGCGCCGTTTAAGGTGAAATACCATCGTCTGCAGCAATTATGGCAGTTATAGAGGCGGAGGTTGCCACTCCAAAACACGCGCAGAGCTGTTTTGGCCGACTTTTTGATGAAAAGGCATTCCTGGAAAAATAAATGATGGTTAACTGTGAACAATATGAATTAAAAATGTCCCTAAGCGATATAAGTCCTAAATCAAGTCCAGTTTACGGATCCTTTAACTACTTAAGGTTTATCTTCACAGTTTCGTTCTTCTGCCACAGAAAATATTATTTTAGCTTGCTGCATAACTCGATCTTCTTTTAGTCAAAATTTGATAGGAATCGTCTATTCAAGCAATGATGTCAAATACGATTTTGTAAAATTGCAATTAATTGAAAGAAAAACTGAAGTACCTTTATCAAGCCAGTGTCCTTTCCATCGTTTAAATTTTTGAATACACATTGTTTCCAATTATTTCCCAGAGCTCCTGGAGGTCCCCGGAGGCCTGGGGCTCCCTGGCTTCCTTTATCCCCTGCATCACCTTTGGTTCCTCGTGGACCCTGTCGGCCTATGGACCCTTGAGGTCCCATTTTTCCCGGAGGTCCCTGTGGACCTGTAAGGCCTTGGTTTCCTGGCTTTCCGGCGTCGCCCTTGTCCCCTTGTGGTCCCGTAGAACCACGAGGACCGGGTGGTCCTGCGATGCCCGTGGGTCCCGCGGGTCCTGGGCTCCCGGGAATACCTGGTATCCCTGGTGCGCCAAAAGGAGTACCATAAGCACAGGGTCCATGCGGTGGATATGGGTAAGCGCCCTGTGTTTAGAAAAAAACACACATAACTTTTGTTCATGGAAGAATTATAACTACTTTTTGTTTTAAGATCAGTTGTGACAAATTCATCTTTCTAAGAATCAAAGTGTCGGGCAATCTTTCTTCTGTTTCCAGTTTTCAGTGAATTTCTCCTTAACCATTCTCTTTTGGAATGACTCTGACTGAGACAATCAGACAAGATCACGACAATAACAATGTTGGGATATATTTGAAAAGAATTAACTTACCATGTAACGATTAGATTTTCCGCCGCTGCTGCTGTTTTTTGCTGCATAGCAAAGAGCAATCAGCGGTAAAATCAGCCAAAACACCTTAATGTTGGGTGACATGTTCACACAAGCTTGTGTGTTGTTTATCCTTCAACTGTAAATAGAGAGAAAATAAGACAAAGCCCATTACTTGCAGAAGGGTTACAGGGGCTGGTTTTTTTGATTCGTTTCTTCTGTCTTCAGTGACACAAAACATGACACCCAATGAATCTCTTGATATGGTATTTAGAAGGATCTTAGGAGTTGAAGCAGTTCACAGTGATTCTCTGACCTCAAAACCAATCTGATCTTGAAAATAGTAATTGACTCACTGATAAGAAAGAAAACGCGAAAAGAAAATTTGCTGGTCAATTCATGCCACACTTAATAAGAGGAGCTAAATTATTCTCTTACCTTGTTTTTGCGACTATCTAAAAGGAAAAACGGTAAAAAAAAGAATCAACAGTATCACCTGAAATTGTGCGCTAATTTACCTCTACAGATACTAGAGAACTTTCTTCGTTCCACAGATGTAAGACCGGTGGAGAGAGCTCGTACCTTTTTTAAAGTGGCTAGCAGCAGAGTAAAATATTACACCAATTCTAAGCCAAGTGTTTTATAAGTCCTTCGAGTTGGCGGTCGTAAAAACATGTTTACAACATGACTAACTGTCGTATGCGTAGGATAAGACATGAAACCCGATTGGCTCGATCGACATCAATTCCACCAACCAGGTAACCCCTTAAATTTTGAGTTTAAATGCGTTATCGTGTAACTGATATGCCTCGAAGAAAATATGCTATGCGCTTGAATTTGAGCTGATTTTTGGAGGAAAATCATATTTAATATTGTATTATTGGTTAAATAAACGATACGATTTACTACTGTTGACTCTACAGCGGTGGGTCGAAGGTTTTTTTTTAATCTTTATGGATTTCTCAGCTTTTGGCCTCCGTAAGAAAAACTCGATTAGATTAGTTCGAATTAGAAATTTGATCCAATGGTGTGATTTTGAAGCCAGTAAATTTCCTCCTTTTTTGTCGGATAACTCTTGAGGTCGTTTATTGGCGACACGGTGTTTCGAAAATGTTGGCAAAAAATAATTTGTTGCGTACAATTTGAATTTATGTTAAAATACGCTGGTGTGAAATTAAAAGTGAAGTCATTTGGAGCATACTTCTTTCGACCGATTGTTAATGAAATTACATAGCTACGAGAAGATTCCTTTCAGAAATTATGTGATCAAGCACGTGTGCAGAGATCATTTCTAATAAGAGGAAAAGGTAAAGGTTAATAATTAACAGGACTTGAGGTAACATTTCACATTCTCTTGTTTGGCAGTATTGTTTTATGGAATACTCAGCTAATTTACTTTTCCTAACTTTTGAAAAATGAGTTACATTGGATCATCTTATCGTGTGCGTTGCCTGAGAACAAATTGTTGAAAGCTCAAGAGGAAAAAAATGAGACGCGAAAATAACATTTCAAGAAACGAGAAAAGTGGAGAAAAGAGTCGCTGATCGGATCCTCCAACAATCATAATTTGTCAGTGATAATTCGTTTTCTTCTTACACTGTTACTTGTTACCCTCCAGTTGTTTGAAGGCATTCTCGTCAAAACAAGATCTCGAAACAAACTTATTAACTATGCAGAATTAGCGGAAGTTACTAATCACAAAACAAAAAATACGAAACAGAGTTAACTGACAGGGTTTCCTATTTAATTCTTGGTTATCAGTTAATTATTGGAATTGCTTAACCCTATCGAAGCTAAGATTATCGAAGCGGATCAAAAAATACTTGAATTCAATAACCTTCAGACCTAGGTTGCCATATCATTCTGTGGAATTTGTTACTGCTAAATTTTATATTTGTTTTTCTCTGGCTGTTTTCATTTTTGAGACAAATTCTGTTCTTAGTTGTTCCTGCCTTTATATCTTGATTCTAGACAATTATAAATATTCACCACTTTAATGAAATTACAATTTAAGTCTCTTTACTTGGTTAGAAAAAAAATATTGTTTACGTTTGTTTTCCGCTGTAAAACACAGGAAATGATAGAATGCAAGTTATCATGAGCGGTAGGGAATATACGTTAGTTTTCATTCAGCGAAAATAGAAATCTTTTTTGATCATAATGTACTTGTTATCCTGACTTCCTTTGCCCAACAGAAAAGTTATTCCTGCTACCTGACAAAAGGTCGTTACCGCGTGTTAATAAATCGAATAGATTTGAAATTCACGTTCGTTTTATCATCACATAGTTTATCACACTGCTCTAAAACTCGTACAAAATAAACCTTCAACAGTTTTCATTTGCTCGGTTTTAGTCTGACAGGATCAAGTTAAGTATAATAATAAATAACTAAAAGAGTATTTAGCTATGCAAATTACCACTTTTAACTAATTTTGTCCGGAGTCGTTTCGTTCTAACTGAAATACAGTAGCTTACTTCAGTTGTTGATAAATTGGTCGCTTTCTGCGAATTTCTCTGTAGCGTCTTCATGGAGCGAAAAATACTCTGAAAAAGGTTCGAAGAACTCTTTTTAAGGCCATGCACAAACTCAATCGTATCTGGCATTCATTTATTGAAGATCACGTCTGAACTCTGGATAACAGGACTATATTTCTGCACTATCTTACGGTCATGGACTTTGTGACAGAATGTAAGAAGTAAGACAAAATGTTTTGTCATTCAGACGACCGAATACTTCGCAATAAACAATTTGTGGCACGGATATAATTTTTCTTGATAAGCACAGGAGTGAAAATCAAAGTAAAGTCATTTGGAACATTCCTTTATTCACGCTTTGTAAACGAAATTTTATCGATATAACACGATCCGTCTCTGAAATTATCCTATCTGAAATTGTAAAATTATTCGTAGAAATATCATCTCTGGTACTAGAAAAATGTGTGATGAAGTATCAATAAACACGACTTAAAAGTGATAAAAAGAAAGATCTTGTCACCAGCAAAATCACAAAATTCAATGAATTCTCAGAATCTTCTTCATGGAATATGATTGTAAGGAAGATGTCATTCACATTCTCTTGTTTGGCGGTATTGTTTTATAAATAACTCAACTAATCTTCTTTTGCTGACTTTTGAAAATGGTTTACCTTGGATCATCTTAGCATATGTGTTGCCTTAGGGCAAGTTGTAGAGAGCTGAACAGGAAAAAATGAGAAGCGTCGGTTGTTTGTTGAATTTCTTATTATTAAAAGTTTTTTTTTGTCTCGTTTGTAATACAACAGTTTCTTGTTTATTTCCGCTGGCTGTTTTCATAGTTAAAAACACCTTCTGTTGTTACTCGTATCTTCCTTTATGTCTTAATTCTTAATTCTCAGTCCAAAACTTAGAAATATTCGGCAGTGTAATTAGATTATAATCGAAGTCTGTCTCTTTATTGGATTAAAACTTTAGTTTGTTTTTTGTTTCCCGCAGTAAAAACTAGGGAATGAAAGGAGCAGAATAAAAGCTCTCACATGCAGGGCTGACTATATGTTAGCCTTCAAAAACTGAAAACAAAAATCTCTCTCAATCTGGTGTACTTGTTTATCCTGAATTCATTTGAAAAGCGGATTTATTCCTGTTATTTGTCAAAAGGTCGCTATTACGTGTGAATAAAATCGAGCAGATTTGAACATCACGTTCGTTTTATCAACACACAGTCCTCTTTTTTCTAACATCAGTACTCCAAAGCTCGCATAAAAGACACATTCAACTGTGTACATTACCTATGAACTAAAGTTTCAGTTTATCAGAATTAAGAGATAATTAAATGAGTATTTTACTATGCAAATTGCCATGTTGGCATAGTTGACAATTTTTTTTTTCATCTGACCGGAGTCGTGACGCTCCAACAAAAATAGCTGACTTTAGTCGCTGATTGATTAAAAGAAACTTTCAAAAAAGCAATGGCAGAAAAGTCTCTATCTATCAAATTTATTATAAGAATAACATTGTGTATCTTAGGGCTGAAGTGTTACTCGAAGCTCAAGGTTCAGATGACGCTATTATCTAATACTCCAAGTGGTTGCGCAAACGGTTACAATCATGCCAGGCAAACGAAATCGATCCATGATCCATGTTCCCTCTTTCAATGTCCTCATGAATATCAAATGAGGCCCAAATTAACTGGCTGAGAATCAAGATCAGCTGAGCTATTTTACAACTGAGGCACAATCATGACAGTAACATAATTGCGACTGGAAACATCTACCTGTGGGATGTGGTCCACTGATTCCGTGCTGTTGACCAAACACAGCCCTTTTATTAATTTGGTCCTTAAGCTTGGCACATCACATTCTGTTTCAACAGATCACGTAGGGAGGAGAGGAAGGAAAAATATCTGATTCTGTTGAATCAAGAGAAAATAATATCCTTTTATCTTACTTTGGTTGAATGCGAATGTTTTAACTCCCTTTGAAAAGCGCAATTATTCATGTTAACAAACGGTCTTTACCGTGCTCGTGATGACTGATGGAATCGAACATCCAGCTAAACAGCATTTTCGCTCTGTGAAAGCGAAGCATTTCACGTTTTATAATGGCCTAGATATGCAAAATAACATAAAACGTCAACAAAGCAGCTTTGAAGTAAGATGTCGGTCCTTTAGGGTCAAGGAAGTACAGGAAGAAATAAACTCTTTGTTGCAATATATGCAAATGTATGTTGATATCATTGACAAGTTCATTTAATAAAAGTAGATCATATTGGTGTAAACAAACAAGAAAATTGGCTGATTGCATAAATCGATTTACAGTGTGTCTGCAGTGTCTTAAAAGATGTCGTCAACTGTTTTAAACCTTGAATGACGAGCACCAAAATGTTTATTCTCAAGTGAACTTTTGTTAAACTTGGGTATAACTATTTTATAGCGAAACTCTCCTAAATATGGTTCTTTTACTTCTTTTCGACGGAATTTTACAAATGTAATTGGACTCCCGTTTAAGATTATCTCATTACGCGTGAATGCTTCCAATCTATATCACGAGAGACCTCAATTTGTATAGGCCCAGAGCCTGTGATTTTACTGTACGAATTTTTATAGGTGAAACATCCAAAATTGAAAATACA